GCTATCAAAATCCTCTGTGCTCTGCCTATTCATCCCTCCCCGCCCCCAACCCTTAGCACTGATCTTTTCCCTGTCTCCATAGTTTTGCCTTTTTCAGAATGTTATAAAGTTGAAATCATGCAGTATGTAGCCTTTTCAGATTCCACCAGCTCTTTTCTAAAACTTCAAGTCTAATGTTGGCTTCCTCCCATGATAGAGGGCTAGAAGAGTCCAGGTAGCCCAATTAAAATTCTGAGCTGTCAGTATAAATCGGGCTCCTCCTCTTTCCTGTGTCACTTCTTTCTTATGGTCAGTGGTCTGTTCTTAGATCACCACCACAACTTGGTCTCATTTTTGTTATCCCAGCATCCAGAAAATTTCCAACACTTGGTCGGTCTCTCATTTAGAACTGCTCTGCTTTGCTTGGTGAAGAACAGCCTTTTGCAGTAGTTTTCAAGCTGACTTTAAGAGCCCCATGTATCCAGTGAAGTATCCTGGGGTGGCTTTCAGGGAGCAAAGCAGTTCCAAGCTGCCTGAGATCTGGGCTGACTCCCAACTTGGATCAGAGCCCTTCTAATGACCAGTGTTACTCTCTGACTTTGTGGAAAATATTGCTGAAGGAAGGAGTTATTGCTTAACAAATACTACTTAGTGCTTACTACATGCCAGACATTGTGATTTTCTAAAAATTGAAAACCAAAGAGCAGTGCTTGCCTGTCCATCTGGCTGCATCAGAATCATCTCAGGAGACTGCCCCAGAATCTGAAATTTTAAGATCCTCAAGTAATTTTTCTTTTCAATTCTTATGATAATTTTATTCAGTCAGCATTGAAGTGGACACATATTCCAGTGTTGCTATAAATTACATCGTTTGCATAGGCCATTTTTTTTCCAAGTGTCTGTTTATAAAAACCACACTTCCCCCTTTTCTCTCACATAAGATGGGTACAAGCAGGAGAGACAGCACAAAAGGTCTGTACAGAGCTATGTCTACTGATTACACTCTTTCAGTAATAAAATCAAGCATTTTACCTTTACTCAGATCAAAGTTGTAACAATGGCATTATTAACTTTTTTGTGCACATTAGCAATGAACCTTCATATTCACAGACAAATTCCTCATTGAGTTGTCCCTGAAGGAGCTCTTAAAAGAGAATACTTACAAACTGGCTGCTGGAATTTCCTGTATTTCAATCTCATTTACTTCAGATGATATTCCAATTTACTTTTAGGACACTTTATTTTTTTTATTTTTTAAATTTATCAATATACAATGTAGTTGGTTTTCATGTCCCTTTACCAATTCCTCCTTTTCCCCCTCCCTCAAGATCCTCAAGTAAGATCCTCAAGTAATTCTGATGATCATTTTAGTCTGGAAGTCTCCCATGGAGACTGGAAGAAACCCATGTTTCTCAAATTTGCCTGATGATATGAATCACCTAAGGGAGCTTATTAAAATTACAGACTCCCAAGACTTGTCAAATTGGTCTTTCAGGGAAGGACCTCAAAATTTATATTTTTAAAGAGATGCCCCTCTATCACCCAGCTCCCATAAATGAGCTGAGAAGCTTGGGAAACCTTGCTCTGAAGCCGACTGTGTATGGCTGTTTTTTATACTTGTACAATTTTGAAGGCTTTGTAACTAGGTGGATGCTATACATGGTTGTGATACAAACAGTTGGCTTTGGTTATTTTATACTCGGTACATTTCACAGATCTTCTTTAATCTCCCTACTCCTTTATGCATTTAAATTTTTGACCCCCAGTTACAGAAATCAGCATCCACAAGTGGCCCCAACTCCTTCCACATGACTCTTCCAGCCAATAGTACTTAATCTGGGCTTCTGAACTGGCAAGAGAGGTGAGGCTGGAATCTCGTCAGCCTGAGTGCTGGAATCTTCACAAGGAACCCCTGTTAGAAAACACACGAGACATGACAAGAAAATGAGCTAGACATGAACTGGTTACAGAATGCCGATTTCTGGTTATAACATTATTTAGAATCTTGACAGTAATGAACTTGGTCAGCACAATGGTAGGGAGGTTCCAACTGCTTTTTGTTGTTTTAATCTTATTTGGGGGCCTGCCTGTGGCTCACTTGGGAGAGTGCGGTGCTGATAACACCAAGGCCACAGGTTCAGATCCCATATAGGGATGGCCGGAGCGTGGTGCTAACAACACCAAGTCAAGGGTTAAGATCCCCTTACCGGTCATCTTTTAAAAAATAAAATTTAAAAAAATAATTAAAAAAAAAATCTTATTTGGGTGAAGATGTGGAGAAATTATTCCAGACAAAAACACTCAAAGTTTTTAAGTATTGTATCCACCCAGTCAAGGGTTAAGATCCCCTTACCGGTCATCTTTTAAAAAATAAAATTTAAAAAAATAATTTAAAAAAAAATCTTATTTGGGTGAAGATGTGGAGAAATTATTCCAGACAAAAACACTCAAAGTTTTTAAGTATTGTATCCACCCCCACCCCCACCCCTCCTAGTGCATTCCCTCTGGCCTGGCGCTGAAGCCGCCACTGCAGCCCCTTCAGATCATCCCCATCACTGGCTCCTGCTGAGGGACATGCTTCCCCATCCAGCCTGCAAGGAGGTGCCACGGGACATGGTGGTGTGGCATGATGGACTGTGGGCTTTGCATCCAGACCCATCTGAGCTAGAGCTGGGCTCTGGTTTCCTGTGTGGGTGACTTGGCATGTTATTAACCTCCCTGAATTAGTTTTCCCATCTATACATGGGTAGGAATAATCTCCATTCTGTGGGGTTGAGACCATATATAATAAAGTGTCTAGCCTATAATTTATATTAAATCTCTTGCCTTGGGACCTTTCTTTCTTCTTTTAAAATTTTTTTGTTTTTACTGCTGGCCAGTATGGGAATCAGAACCCTTGACCTTGGTGTTATTAACACTATGCTCTGAGTTAAATGGCCGGCCCTGCCTTGGGACCTTTGTTAAGGAAAAAATTTCCCATTTGTTCCTCTCCAGCTTCTTCTGCCCCACAATCCCTTCCTTTTCCACTCTCCTGGGAGGAGGGTCAGGTTGTACTGATAGTTCCAGGGTCCTGGTATCTCACCCTTGCCTGCGACTTGGTTCCCTCTGTCCTTCCTGGGCTCATGTAGCACATTCATTAACTAGCTACTTGAGGAGGCTGGTTCTGTGGCTTAACAAAGCTGCTTCTCCACCGTTACTCCAGGGTCGTACCTGTGGCTAAGCTGCTGGACTTCGCATCCCCACGTTCTGAACACATGAGACCAGCTCTTTCCAACCACCAGAAACAGACTTCCTGTGTGCTCTTTGTATAGAGTAGAGTCAGTGTTGTATCCCAACCTCAGCCTTCCTGTGCTTAATCGTTGCTCTAGGTTCTCTTAACGGCTCGCTACTGAAGAGCAAACCCTCTCCATATCTCTCTCTAGAATGATCCTTCAGACCATCAGTACTGCAGTGACAATTACAAAAATGCTTTTTATCTGTGGAAGACAAGTGGCACTGTAACAGCCAACCCTGTGTTTCCTCTCTTTTAATTCTTAGTATTCCTTATGTCCTCCCCTTCCATCTGCTGCCCAGAAACTCCATTCTCCACCACCCCAGCTGTTCCTGGAATCAAGGGACTCTCTACTGAGAGCACTTCATCCCTGGGTTCATCAACCAGTCTCAGCGGCCTCAGCGTCCAGGCGATCACCCTGTGGTTAGCGAGACAGGTGCGGGCAGAGGAGAGAGGTGAGGGAAGGAAGATCTGTGCACTTGCTCTCCTCTTTGAATAAATGCACATCCTGAACAGGACTTCCTCTGAAAGCCTTAATTGTTTATTTTATTACAGTTCTTACTCCATTCTCACTTTCCATCTGCCTTTCCTCTGTAATTCTGTATTCCCCCGTGACTGAGCAGCAGCGGCCAGACCGGAGAAACCGCAGATGGCCCGCCCCGTCTAAAGAGAGCCTTTTACTATTTTCCCTTAATTTCCACAGCTCCCCAGCAGGCTGAATTCTGCCTTTCCTTTTAACCTCTGCCTTTGTGCTTTTGCACTCCACACTGGTGACTTGTGTGGGCTTTTGATCTGGTTCTAAATTGCAGGCTACCCACATAGTAGTATCCTTCCCAGTCCAGGACACATAGTAGTATCCTTCCCAGTCCAGGACACGCCAGTCACCTGGAAGGGAGGAAAGGAGGAAGGATGGGACGAGCGGGCTGCCTTGCAGGGCCCAGTTGCCTTCTCATGGGCTAGGGTCCCTGGGCTCCTCAGGCACAGCGCCCCCCACCTCATGTGCAGGGGCCACCCACACAGCTCACTCCCTCGCTCTCGTCTTTCTGCCACACCAGCCAGTTATTTATTGTCTCCATTTAGCTCCTTTCAGGCAGCGCAAAACAAAGGGCCTGTCATTTGTGTCACATGCGTGCTTTCTGTGTTGAGTTGCTGTTCTTTATTCATCAGGCATCGGCCCAAAGAGCCAAGTGGATACTCAATTTGATGCACATGAATGATTTTAGACCCTTCTAACCCAGATAAAATAAAAGAGAGAAGCCACCTGAGGTTTGGCACAGAATTATTCTAACCAGCCAACTTCTCTCCAGTTTCCTTTTCCCTTTCTAGTCCTGAGGAGAATCCTTTTCTACAGACCACTACGCCAGCCCACCCCCATGACCCCCCTTACCACAGCTTGCAGAAACCACCAAGGCAAGGTCCTCTGCTTAGGGAAGCGACCTACCTGTATGTGAGCTGCCAAGTGTTTGGAATGTTTTATTCACACTGCAACTATGAATGGATTAGAAACTGGGCGTGTCTGGTACGTACCACACAGAGAATAAGTAGCCAGGTTATCTTTTGTCCCTTTCTGAGAAGTTTGGGTATGGCTGCCTTAGGGCTACTTTGGGAAGTGTTTGATAGCATGTCCCCCTTGAACGTGGTCATCCACGGCCTCCTATCAGAACTTCCCTCCTGAGTGTCCAGCTGTATCCTCCCAGAATTCCTTGGTTCCTGACGCATGCTTGGCTTTAATCTCTTGGTTGGCTTCCAGGGAAGGACATGGCAGCCGTGCAGAGGACCCTGATGGCTCTAGGCAGCGTTGCAGTCACCAAGGATGATGGCTGCTACCGGGGAGAGCCATCCTGGTTTCACAGGTAAAAGTCCCTTCCCTGCCTCATGGAGCAGAGGATGATTTTAAACAGAGAGAGGAGCTCTCCAGAGGCTGTTTATATACAAAGCCCCTACGAACAAGCATTCCTGCCCTACGACTGAGTCCCTCAGGAAAGACCCATGCTGCCATTCAGGCCAACATCCTACCAGGGCAGAAATAGCTGGACCTTTCTTATTCAACACCTGGATTCTCCGATCTGCCCAGCTTCCCCTTCTCCTGAGGCTCAGCAGGACTACATGGCCTTTCTCAGAGGCAGCTTGATGTCTGAACTTGGTTTTATTATGATCCGAGTATCCCTGAGCCTCCCTTCCCTTCTCCTTCCCTTCCCCTCTTTTTATCTTTTTGCACTTAATGAAGGGTAAATATGTCCTGTTCGCCTGGCACTGTCCTGGCTAATACCTGTTTCCCAGTGTATTTATTAATAGCACCCTTTTGCACTCTCAAAAGTGTCCTAGTCTGGATGATAAGTTGTGATAAATTATGTGGTTATCTCAGTAAAGGGCCTTTTCCTAAAGTGTTTTTCTGGTGGTAGATGAAAAGAAAAGAGCACCTTGTAGCAGATAATTGATTATCCATTTTCCTGATCCCCTTTTCTTCTCCGTGACAGTTATGAAAAAGGTACCAGGTTGTGTCATTTTAATTGAACTTGGTCTGAAAACCTCCTAGATACTGGCCAGTTGAAACCCTGGTTTTAGTCCCAGCATTATTAGTGACCTACCATGGTCTACATGGCTGCAAAACCAGAGTTATTTACTATCTGGCTTTTTACCAAAGTTTGCCGACCTCTGATCTAGAGTAAAAAATTTCCTCTCGTTAATTCTTAGGTGCTGCAGGTCTAAAATGGAGCATTAATTGTTGGCCCTTTATAGGGAGGGGTAGAATGGGATTAATGACATGCTTTGTAAGAAGAGCTGACTTTAATTTTCATAAGGCCTTGAGGTAGCTGTGAGAGAGAGGGTGAGAAGCTACAGATGGCCTACAGAGATGGCCTAAAGTGGAGGGGGCAGACGGGTTAGTTATAACACCAAGGTCAAGGGTTGGGATCCCTGTACTGGCCAGCTGCCAAAAAAAAAGTGGTGGAAGAAGAAGTGAGAGAGGGAGAAAGGAAGAAAGCTGGGAGTGAGTTCCCTGAGAGGCTGACAATGAATCTGCTGTCTTCTTTGCTGGAAATTCTGGAAAACAGCTGGGCTTGTAAAAGGCGGAGCTCATGCCTCCTGGTAGGGCCATACCTCTAGGTAGGGCATGCTGTTCTATTTGGTGACCCCTAGTAGAGCCTGTCCACCTGCAACTCTTGGAAAGAGTTTGAAAACTGCCATAGTGATGTTATTTCATCTCGCTCCCCCTGTGCAGGAAAGCCCAGCAGAACCGGAGAGGATTTTCAGAGGAGCAGCTTCGCCAGGGACAGAATGTAATCGGCCTGCAGATGGGCAGCAACAAGGGAGCCTCCCAGGCGGGCATGACCGGGTACGGGATGCCCAGGCAGATCATGTGAGATGCCGCACGGGCCTGCCCTCAGCAGAGAGGACAGACGCTCTGCACCAAGGTCTCCGTGAAAAAGAAATAGTTAGTCACCTTCTGACCTTCTCCTCTTTCTCAAAGCCTCCTGTCCCTGGTTTTTGCAAGTGCTGCATTTCTGCTGAGAACCCATGTTGCCTACTGCTGCCACCTTCTGTTCATTTAGAACTATGCAAAGACTCCGCTTCCTCTTCCTGAGCTCCTTCTTTGCCCTAAAGTCTTCGTTTATTTGATTATTTATTTATTTATTTATTTGCCAAAAATTCCCTTCCTCACCTTACAGAACGCACCTAATAAACAAATTAGTCTTGTGTCTTAAAGTGTAAAGTTTATTCTTTGTTTTAAGGATTTGGCAGGCTGGGCTGGTTTCGCTTTCATTCAAGAGGCCATCCAGTACAATGGAATTAAGCTTAAGCTGTAGCTGTAGAAATACAGGTTAGCTACGAGGAAGCTCTTGCAAGAGTTCATAATGTTCATCATGGCAATTGCACTAGAAAATTTAGAAATATTTTTGCCCACTCAGCCTAAAGCCATGAGTTCAAAAAGAAAGTTTTTGACCCCACATTATTTTTTTGAGTACCACCTTTGTGCATATTATGCCAAACCTGGAGGACACAGGAATGAGCAAGACAAAGCACCAGTTCTTCCCCCCCCCCCCCCCCCCCC